CGTTAGTATCTTGACTCAACCACGGTTCGGTCCACTCACATTTGTAGAACCAGTCGGGCCACCTGCTTCCTGGGTCAAGGTCTCGTACTTGCCACACATGCTCCAACGAGAGGCATACGTCCTTTCGATTGTACGTAAGACCCCTTGGTGTACGTAGCCGTTCAAGAATTCTTCTCCTCCCTTCACCTTCGACTGCTTCGCAGCCTGCAATGAAAAGTGGAAACAAAACGGCATGGGAAACACGAGATGTGACAGGAATCTTCCCAATTTCGGACACGATAACCTGCACCTTCTTGCGTACCAGAGGAGCTGTAAATGGCATGCCTTTAAGGCGCGCATAGAAGAGTAGGAATGCTGCTGCGTGCATGGCCTCGTTCAGAGACCGCAGTTCCTTGGGGTCTGTGGTGCCTGTTTTGGAAAGATCCAGATCAGCTTCTCTAGCGGTAAGAAGTTCTTCTTCTAGCTTTATCATTTCCATTCCCATTGATGCATCCGATATGTAATTATTAACGGTCGAGCGAGACTTCTGAATGTCGAGAAGCCTAGCCAGGCGAAGAAGGGGGTTGACTAGACGAGGAGAGAATGCGTATATTGGGTGGTTTGTCCAGTCACGGAAGGAAGGTAGATAGTTGTGCTCAACCTCTTCTCTTCGCATCTCCAAACCACGGTAGATCTTATCGCTCACCGGTTTCCGAGAAATTTGAAATGAGCACACGGTAGATATAATACTCCATCGTAGCATGGAGAGTATCAGCTGGATGAACGGTGCGAGAAGATGTGAGGAGGATTGTGGGCGTCTAAAATAGCCGACAGCAAGTGTGCTTGCGTAATGTAAATATTCTTCGGAGTCATCCTGACCAAAGTGATGTAGGAATATTCCGCATGCAACGATTGAGAACGGAGACCAGCTTTGTGCCCCAATTGATGGCAGTTCGGATTTCAGGGCAACAGAAGCTCTTCTTGAGCAATCCCTAACGAGTTGGTGGAACTCGTCGCCACTTCTGTTGGTGTTGTACTGAAACGCATCAAAACAGAAGATCGCAGACCGTAAACTTTCGTTCGAAATCGCCATTCGTGGGATAATGGCTATAAATGGGTCTTGAGATCCTTGGAACCTAGATAGATTTTGCTCGTCGAGGCACAGAAATCCATCCTTTGTGATGTGCAGGAAATACTGCCAGAGGAAACGCCTCTCAGGCGATGAGAGCATATCCGGGGGCCAAGGCATCGGACAGTGAGTCATTGATAATGACATTTGGAAAGATTCCTGGTGGGCCCCAGCTATGGCGTTATAAGAACCCAAGCCTGAATTGGTTTCAAGATCATTTGGGACGGAGTCCAAGGCTTGGGTGAAGGTTGGAGACTCCAAGAGCTGTGGCTCCAATTGTATGTCGTCGAAGACGGAAACTAATTCGTTGTTTGAAGTCAGCTCTCTATTTGATTCCGCACTCGGAACAGCATTGTCGTCTGTGAAGAATGCCTCAGAGTGATGATCGTCGGTGTCGACGTCCTGAATGCCAGGAAAGCTGCGGCCCAGAATCCCACTGCCGCCTGTGTGGGGAGTCGGAAGCCAGAGATCGCCGGCGAGATCACCAGTTGAAGCTTCATCGTAACCAGCCACCGGAAGGGCCCTAGACGAAGGACGGGCTGTGAAGCCAGAATTTGGGCTGAGGCTCTCGAATCTTCCGTCGCTGGTAGCATGTGTTCGCGTGCTTGGTTCCTGGTCCTCAGGCTCTCCGGGTGTCCATATCTTGAACACTTCCAGGTCACAAGCTAGTTGAGATTTCAAGCACTGTGAACATTTGGGGCGCTTTTTATCGCACTAGACAATTTTTACATTAGCTCTGGTTTTGACGCATAGATAATGACTGTGTCATCGCCCAGTGACGGATCATTCCGCCAGGTGAAACGTACCCTTCGCTTCTTCCGAACGCACTGCACACATGCCCCTCTGGTCCGTTTGCTATGCCTAGTTGGCATAATTGATGAACGGAATGCGAAAAATGACGAATTATGGCACTTTCAGGCGTGGTCCGGGGAGAGGTTGCTGAAGAAAAGACTGCGACTCCGTTGGCTGTTGGGGCTACAATCAGAGGAAAGAAGTTTATCTCGGCCCGGAAGGCCAAGGTTCCTAGATAAGCTTAGGTAACACGCCCCGGTCCGAATGCCGCATCTACTTGAGTCCAAGATCTGGGCAACTCGCAGCTTTACTATTTCTACAAACTAAATGATGGCTTGCGTAATAAATTTATGAAATTGTGAAACACTTTGCAAATTACGGTCATAGACCACGGATACATACAGTGTGGGATTCGGTCTCCTCATCTCATATGAGTTGTAAAATAATATAATGAATTCCTGTCTCAAAAAACCCCGTCGCAATTCAAAAGGCACCCTCGGTCTCTTCGGAACCTTCGATATAATCATAACATGGCAACTCTCCCAAAGCCTCTCTCAGAATTTTGAAACCTTGGAGGAGATCAGCGTCAGGGATGGTCAAAGCAACGCCCAGGCGAATGCGACCATTGGGACCGGGGAAGCCAAGGAGGCCTTTGCTGGCGCACAGCAATGAAAACCGCCGAGGAGTGATTTCCTCAGGTCGAGTTTCGTACTCAGTGTCAAGCAAAATGTTGAAGTCAGCGCCGAAAGCTGGACAATACCGCAGCCACGGGAATTCCATGTCGATTTCTCCGAGACCCATTTGGCGTGAATATCTCGGGCCCGCCGTTGCAGGTTTTCTTCTTCGTAAACCTGCAATGGAAGAAAACCTGCAATGCAGTGGTCACAGCTGTGACAGCCATCGAAGACATTGAAAAAGTGCTGACCGATTGGTATGGCTTCATTTTGTTCATGACTTCATCTGGGCCGAACACAAATGAGGTTGGCCACACGCCTCCAGAGATGGACTTTCCCATGGTCACCATGTCCGGTTTGTGCTCAGGTCCCATCCAGTCAGAGCTCAAGAACCTGCCGGTCTTGCAGGAACCCACACGAACTTCGTCTGCGATGAAGAGGATGTTGTACTGCTTGCACAGCTTTCGAACGCCAATGCAAAATTCAATCTCTTCCTCCATAGACCTTGGGACTGTGAGTCAAACTGATCGAACGTGTGTTAAGTATATGTGTGGAAGATGACTCACCTGGCAAGTTCATGAAGTGGCTCCATGATGACTGCAGCGATGCGTTGATGCATCTGCTCAAATATCTCTGCATAGTCTTCAACGTGAAGGTAGCTAAGAACCTTGCCTGTTTGGGGATTGATGTTCGTCATGTTCTTGCTGAATGTCGCGAATTCTGATCTGCACGTTATTACAATTATACGGTGAAGCGCTGATATGATGTAATGGCCTACCTCCCCAACCAGCCTCCGGCTCCATGAGAGGCCACACCCCGGAAAGTGTATCATGGTAGTTATCTGAAGTTCCGAGTACAAGGACCTTTTTCGGGTCGATCTGCTTGATGTCAACTCCCCATCCGCGCGCCAACCTGCAAGCCGCATCTGTAGCTTCGGAGCTGGATTTCATGGCCAACACTTTTTGATGGCCAACACTTTTTGATAGCCAAACTTATCACATAAGCGTTTGGCTAGATGGGGCCATCCCTCCGCTTGGCCAGCAGTGTTGGCGAGTGTGACTAAGTGCAAGTCAGCATAAGATGATCAGGAACGTAGCTAAAGTATGGTGTTCACTTTTCTTAGCTGAGTTTACTTGCGCTCCCAAAAGCCTTGGGTGGCATTGCCCAAGGTTGCTGGCACTAAATCCACAGATGAAGTCAATTAGCTCCCGCCCATCAGAATCCTTGAGCTGAAGTCAGTATCAAGAGCAAGGGCCCTTAGGTCTGGGGAAAATCTTACACGAAGTCGAGAACCTTGCCCAGAGACTAGGTACACTGGCAAGGAGTTGATCCCTCCAACGCTGTAGCGCTTGTTAACCTCATCTAGTGCACGGCCAGACGCCGGCAGTGAGAGGGAGAGTTTCGTTGTTGCCACGCTGTTCGGCATGATTGACACACTTCTCTACTGCATTCGCCGGAAAGAAACAAATTGAGGTGATGGGTAAATGTTGTATTGAAAACGAGGCCAAGATATCTGCACCCAATAATGTCCCTTCTCAAACTGGCCTCATTTGATCAAGAGGGCCTCAGATGCAAATGTCGTAAGTCCTAAGCGGGAAAGTTTACCACCAGCATCTCGTAAACCGCACTCAGCGTCCCTTTGTTGCGAAATAGTAATATGTAGACGGTGAAACGTAATGTTACCTCAGCCGACGGCCAAAACTTTGATAAACTTGAATTACGACTGTAGGTGGCTTCGGAGACGCGCAGATGTTTGCCGCGTTGAGAATGCCGTCATCTCGGAAAGGGGGCTTGCGAGTGGCGCGAAAGTCCACAGCAGCCATTGTATTTAAGGACAATTTCCCACATCACGGTCTCGACTCAAAAACGCACGACTTGATTGGCACAAACTAAAAATCTCAAGACAGCTGATATCATAATCGTCTCACTTGCGGAAAAGCTGCCTCTTTTCAATGGTCGCCACTGTCACACGGTCCCAGCACGAGGATGCATCGATACTGCGGCGGAAAAGTTGCCTAAAACGGACTGGACGTGCTCCATCTTTCTCCGCCAGTGTGCTCCATCACGGCAAATTGAACCGAATTACGACTCATGCCGAACAGTCAATCTATGAGCGCCATCTTCTATCCACGTATCTTCTCTTGGAACTAAGATAAGAAAATCGCATACGTTTTCTTCTGGTCGAAGGTGCGGGGGTCGGTGCTCTCGGATTCCATCTCACATCCCGCGGTGCCCGCTCTCAAGTTCTCACAGGTACGCAGATAGCACTTAGTGACAGCGACGAAGATTTGGCTAGCTACACAGCAGATAGCAGCAATCAGAACGGTCCTCATCTCCTTAAAAGCCTCTTTTTTGGACTGCTCGAACCTTTCCTTTGGATCTGAGGTCTACATCATCAAATTTATTCCGTCATCACAGCAAACACTATGCCGCAGGGCCTGATGACCCTGCAACTTATCGCGGTTTCTCAGGACCAGATCATGCTCATCGCATGTACCTTGGTCGTCGTGCTATGGATCTGGAGTCTCCGTCTCCAAGCGACAATCAAGATTCCAGGCCCCTGGCACCTGAAATTCACCGGCATATTCGTCAAATACCATGAACTATTCGGTCATAAGAGAAGGTGGATCCACAATCTTCATCTTCGGTACGGCCCTGTGGTTCAAATCGCATCAAACGAAGTTTCTTTCGCAAGCTACACTGCAGCAAAACAAATTTACAGCACTGGAAATAAAGATTTCCGAAAGACGGAGTTGTACTCTCTGTTCGAGCAAGACGGTCACATGTGAGTGCCAACCGCGGGGGTTCCTCTTGTCCATTCATGATCTGACTTCTAAAGCAACCTGTTCACTGCCCTTGATCATGACAGCGTATGAAGATCTCTGTTGGGCCGGAGACAACGTGCTCTATAGCTAACTTGACCGATTGTAGCACAGCGCCATACGGCGTCATCTCGCTGATCGGTACTCAAACTCATCGGTTCTTCGGCCTCAAATTACCGAGATGATAGATGAGCGAGCCAAAACCTTTGTGGCGGTGTGTGCGGCATCAGACACAGTGGACATCTATGTGGGTTTCCTGAGGTCACCTGCTTGATCTGCCTGCTGACTATCTGTAGTTCTACTTGCATGCATACGCTCTTGATTGTGTGACTGGAATGTTATTTCATCCTCACAGAACAGACTCCCTAGTCGATCCTGGCGACAAGCAGATGGTCCAGCTGCTGTCTTACTCCAATACCCGTGAAGGTATATCCAACCAACGCTTATTTGAGCCAGGGTGCATTTTGCGATATGTTCTAGTCACTAACATGTTCTGTAGTAACATTTTCAACCCATTACCTCCCGCTACTGGCGCCACTTTGGGCAGCCCTGTTTCCCAAGTTTCCGGACCTGGAACGGGGAAGTAGTATGGTGCGGAAATTTGTGCAAAGCTCATTGGAAACCGGAGATCATTCTGATTTCACCGTCGCAAGAAAGCTTCTAGAGTCAAGCCAAATCAGCAGGCCTCTGGCTGAAGCTGAGTGTCTCGATCACATTGGCGCCGGAATCGAGACCACAGGCGATACTCTGTGCTGGCTCATGTGGGAATTGTCTCAACCCAAACATCAGAACAAAGTCGGAAGACTTCACCACGAGCTTGCTGAAGCAGGTGTTGGAGGATCTCTTGAAGGTCTGCCATACCTCAACGCCGTCATCCAGGAAGGCCTGCGTCTGTTCGCCCCGGGGACGCTACCTCTTCCACGCTATGCGCCAAAAGAAGGCGCTTTCGTCGATGGATACTTTATCCCCAAGAATACTATTGTGGAGTGTAACTCTTATAGCATGCACCGTTTGGATGAGAGCACATTCCCGAACGCAGACGAGTTAATTCCCGAGAGATGGCTGGATCCCGAAGGTAAGACTGATCGACAACGGCTATTCTTCGCCTTTGGGCTTGGCCCGCGGACCTGCATAGGTCGACAGTAAGTTTGACTATTTCAAATCTTTCAGCTTTCAGATGAGCATAAGCGAGAACGATACAGATTGCTGACATGGTGTACGTTTTGTAGTCTTGCTGTGGCCGAGATGAGAGCTTGCTTGAGCGCAGTCTATTCCAAGTATCGTACCAGACCGGCCACGGATATGCGTTCAAGCATGGAGATGGATGACCAAGTCCTGACATCCCGTCCACAAGATTTGTGCTGCAAGATTCAGTTTGTGCCTTGGGGACCCGGAGCTTGATGTGTTGAAGTGTCTTCGTTGTGCAATGCAGACACGAGGTCTCAATAGATATACTCTCCAGCAGCTCGATCGTTTGCCTCATAGTGGAGCTTATTTAAGTATAATATCGCCCCCAAATAAATTTTAAGAGATCGTTTGTTGGTTTCCCGCATTGTCAAGCTCCGCGGAAACTTGCTTTCTCATCAGACTTGAGTACAATTATTAGCATTACATTTTGACGACGCGCAGCTTTTATCTATCGTCATGTCTCGTTAATCATTAAAACCGCCCAAGCAAGATATCCGAACCCATCCAAAGTAAACCCATACACTCAGCCAGCATTCCAGTACATGTCAATCTCCTTGATCCTGAAGACCGCGTCTTGGGACGGCGGCCCCGCACTCCAGTACTTATCGCCGTCGGCCCAGTTATTGAATACCCAAGTGCCAGCCACTGATGGAACGTTCTTCGTCGAAGTCCAGACCAACTTCCCGTCGACGTAGAACATGGTCTTACCAGGCACCCAATCCAAGCGGTACTCGTGCTCAGTAGTCGTCGGATTGGCTGGCAATGCGACGGGGACCGTCGTCTTCAGGCCACTGCCATCCACCGCTTGGTTTGAAAGCCATAAGTAACGCGTTCCAGATTTGGATTTGGCAGTTCTGGCTGCATCAGTGTTGCTGTTCGATTGGCCATTTGATAGAAACTCAATGTCTGTCTCTTGAGTATCTGACTGGTAGAAGAACATTCCTAGGCCGTTGTCAGGATGCGGCTTGAAAAAGCTGGAAGGATTGAATCTTACCGTTGCAGACTCCAGCCGGCTCAGAGAGAATAGCAACTGTCCGAACAGATGCGTACTTGATTTTTGATGTCGTCGTTACTTCGGCCGATCGGAATGATTTGTTTTTTACCCAAAGTTGTAGGTATCCATTGCCAACAATCACATTCGCGGGGGAATAGAAGTATGTGTCAACTGGGTAGTTGCTCGCTTTTAGGCCGGCGGGAAGAGAGGTAGCCTTGCTGAAATCGTAGTATGAGTTCTTCTGGAAACCGTATTTGCCGTCGACCATCCACATTCCTTTCGTATATACGCCTCGCGCGGACCGTTGCGCAGTGGCCAGGCCTGAGACAAGTAAGGCGACAAAAATCGATAATGATGGATGCATGGTGTGTTTGGGGGCTTGTGTCGATTGAGAGTGAGCCTCCTCCATCAATGCCCACTGCCGACTCCATCATATATACCGTTTGACGCCCTCAACACATGTTCTTGGAAGCGGCCGGTGATCGTCCTAGGCAGATTTCTTGGTCCGCGGCGTGGCGCCCTCCCGTACGGGCCAGACGCTCTTAGAGTCCCGCGGCAGTGGCCAATGGCTATAGCTTCACGGCTGAGACATTCGCAATACGCCAGACGAAATCGAGACATGCCCGGAGATTTTGTCTGCCCGGCCGTTTTCGGAGTGTACTTAGCCCCAAAGCGGCACTCCAACGACGCTTTCACCACAAACGGCCAGGAAAGCTCCTTTCATTCAACAGCCGGGAGCTTGGCCAGGCTGGTGATTTTCAGGGTAGACGACTGGGCATGGGTGGCTCAGCATGCTTGCGGCTCACGGCATTTCCAGTCCGACCAAGCGAGCTGCAAATTTTCGCTTTCACCGGGAGCCATACAAGATGAGCACTCAACACCGTCGATCCAGAGACCAGCCTAGTCCATGCTTCGTCATTCGGCCGCAAGAAGACCTAGATTGCGTCAATTTGTGAATGTGCCAAGAGCGTAACATAAAGGAAGAAATCAGGGTCCAAGAAGACCTTACATCTAGATTCATCACGCTGTCGATCCGGCTCCGTCTCTTCAACGGTAGATGTCATGTCGCAATTTGATATTTTCAAGAATGTGACAGCGCCTCTTTAATCAAACGGCACGTCATGGTGTCCCAAGCCTCGTCTACTGCCCGGGTGATGTGACAATGCAGGACCTGGAAATTTGCATCAGGTAATATTGGTGGATAAACCCGCCCATGGAGTCCGGATGGATAAGCCACATGGTAAGTGAGCCGCGAACCACACCTCCTTGGTCTTTGGTGGTGTCTGGCCCAAGAAATTCGGTCTCGGTTGGCCACGATGCGGGTCGTACAAGTCGCATGCTGGGGAAGCAATCCACAACTCATTCGGGTTATCCACTATCCTCGATAGTCTAGTGGTGAGGATATCGGCTTGTCATTAACACGATTCGCCGGGGACCGGGGTTCAATTCCCCGTCGAGGAGATTTTCTTTTGCTTTTGTGTCTTTCAGAGTTGAGCACCTCTTTGACGGTTGTTTGTAACCGTCTTTATTACCCATTCTACACTGACGGTTTATTCCCACGGCTTACACGCCGCACAGCTTCTGATGTGCAGCATTTCATCTGTACAGCGATGACCTGAAGTTGCAGTTACTGCTTGGATTGTGTTGGCGGTCCTTTTTATATTATTATGATTGGCTTGCGACGCAGACGAAGCGACAAAACGAAGCGCTGGACTGTCGTTTCGGCGTCGCGTTTTCGGCGTCCTCAGATGTGCTCATTTGATCCGCAACGAAGACAGGACAGCGAATGGCAGGATGAATGCGATAAGTCAACAGAATCCGTATTCCGGGTGCATCAACATTCCAACAAGTGCCATGGCCCAGCCACCACCGGAGCGGAGAGGAGTGACGGGGGGGCACGGGCCCAGATTCGGTTGGGATTCCGTAGCCGAGCGGACCCGGCGTCCGGGGTTAGTACCGAGGAAAACGAAGAATGACTTGCAACAACGAAGAAAGGTAACGAACAGACTTTTGGCTCAGCACCGCAGGTCTTAGTATAGTTCTCTAAGTCTATTCCGAAAAAAAACGGAGAAACACACTTTCTCTAGGGTGTCTAAGTCATAGATTACCCCGGATTTCGTTGTCTTTTAGGGCAATCCCATGTAACCATTTTTAATGGTTTCCTCAACGCTCCAAGGCTTTTGCAACGCTGGGGGCATAGTTTGACAAGCTCACGGGAAGTTGAATATTTTTGGAAGCATGCTGCAGCTTTTGAAGAAGCTGTATTGATACCCTTTAAAATCTGAGGCTTGAATGAGCTAGCTCTGAGAGCCATGAGCGAGCAGGGTGCGCTAACTAGGTCTCTGCTTAGCTCCGGAGACTATCAATCAGCCACCGCTTTATCGTACCTACGTTCAGACCATGGAACTCGTCTGGATCGTCAGAAGAAGGCAGTGTGATCCTGCAGGTAAGCTGATGTGATGTCTGAGGACATTTGAACAGCCTCACTGAGTCCATCAATCCGCCTGACACAACCCGTTACTGATTATATCTCACGAGACATCACCACGACGCATGCATATAAAAGCGTCTACTTCCCCGCATAACACGAACAGGTTTTTGAATCGGCATCAGTCTTCATATTTCTTCACATTCACTCAGCTTTCTCTCCTATCTTTTCGCTGTTCTCTACTTATCTCGTCGCTCTACGCCAGCACACAAACCCTATTGCAATCCACGGTACCTCCAAAAAAAATGAAGTTCTTCGCCGCAGTCACTATCATTCCCAGCATTGTCTCTGCGCTGACCATTTGTGCGGCTCCGCCCCCGGCTCCAGGAAACAACTGGGACGTGTACGCTCAGGATACAGCTCAGCTCAAGTCTCGTGGACTTTGCCGCGCTTATGTTGGCAGGGACAAACCCGCCAAAGCCGTCTGGGGCGCCAACATGTGCGCCGACTTTTGCGCACCGGCGCGGCAGCTGGCCCAGGACCAGAAGGTGTTCAGCATCATTTGCATCGGCTCCGGACCTCCCCAGGGAGACTTCCCTGACCCTGAGGGCTACCGTTACGATCTCGGACAGTGCAAATGCAACGACCCTGTTATCAACTGGATTACCGAAACTGTCGTTGTCGAAGGTCTTCCCGCCCTTGGCTTGGTCACCTGCTCTGTTTTCAAAATTGCTGTGACGGAGACTTTCGATCTTCGTACGGGTGTTGCTCGCGGCGCACTTGGAACATGCACGCAGACCTTGGCCAAGGTGGCGAAAGCACTCGTCAAGGCTGGAAAAGGATCGTCGGAGGCTTACGTTAAAGAGCACCTTGCGGCTGGTGATGCGTGCGATTTCAGCGCTGCTAAGCTATTCAACGACTTCGGCAAGCTCACAGACTACAACATTGCCAACGTCATGTAGATGGGACATCGGTGGTTGGCGACAGGCAACCCTCGACCTCATTGCGGGAAATACGTTCAACAGTCTACGGCATATTTCACTCGAGAAGCGGCACAGAAACTCGTGTTTTACTACTCATTGTTGTTTCATTGATCTTTTGGTTTCTGTCAGCAGTTTTTAGATGGAAACTTTTGGTCGCAACCGAACGAGACTTGTTTGGAAATTCCCGCATTGAATTTTATCGCCAGCACACCTAGACAGTACGTTTACCTTGCAAATACAAATAAAGATGATCTATATTGATACACAAGAAAACAAACTCGCCATCTGAAGTGTCTGGATACTGTTGTGGTTCGCGAAGTGACAAGCAATCCAAACGACTTACTTGTTATAGAGTCAAGACAAAGTCCAACTGTTACATACTATCTCTTGAGACAGCGACCTCCCTGTAAGACGCATCGCCGCCTTCGATGAACATCGACCCGGTGTGGTTATTGTAGGTCAAGTCGGCGAAAGCCTCAACGATTCCAGCAACCACCTCCGCCGCTCTTCCAAACTCCAAAGTTCCCAACTCGGCCTGCAACAGCGCCTTAGCTGTCTCCGGCAGACTGATGTTCAGAGAGGCAATGAGAGTCGGAAAGTCCGTGAAGCTTGCGTGGACGGTTCCGGAGACGCTCAAGTCGGCCTTCTTGCCGCGCAGAACACTGTAGAACTGGTCCCAAGTGGGGTCTTCGGCGGCGTGCCTGGGTCTTCCCACAAGTGCAAAGGGCCGGTGCAGCCCTTCTTCGAGGACGGGGCTCAGAAGCTTGCCGTCGAGGTCAACACCTCCCAGAATGCGAGGGTCTGTCAACATCGCTGCGGCTGCGGTGGCGCCGCCGAGGGAGTGACCGAACATGATGGCGCGGTCGAGGTCGATGCCTACGACGTGAGTCGTGGAGAGATGGGAAAGAACGAAAGATGTGTCTTGAGCCCGGATCTATTTCATTATAAGTATCTATTCGACTGAATTCGCGAATTTGGATGCACTACCTTGGTGAGGAATTCCAGCTGTGTTGTATTATCGGTGTCCAGGTTCACTGCCGTGTAGACGGTGCCGTCGGGAAACTCGACATATGACGGGTCGTATGGATGATCGATGGTAACAACCGCCAAGCCGCGACTTGCAACTTCCCGTGCCATGGCGCCGTACAGCAATCGAGGATTGCCCCACCCAGGTGAGAACAATACCAGAGGAAACTTGGAGCGGGTTTGTTGGCAAGCCCGACTCTTTGTCTTGCAAAACTCCATCTCAAAGGAGGAAAACGTGCCGTTGGGAAGACCAACATCAGTCCCAAGCTGATCGTAAGCCTGGGCGACCAGCGGCGTCATGTATGGCACCCTTTCCCGGCCAGAACACGGGGTCTTGGCCTCGTCGACAGGAAGGAAGGTCGAGATCATGACTTGGCGGGCGTGTGAGTTGTTGCTGGGCGCGTATGGGTCCATCCGGGAGTGGTCGGTGAGGCCCTGGACAGACATGGAGACGGCATAAGGCCCGGTTGGCGGCGCCACGAGGACAGCCTGTGCAGATGAGGCCAGGAGCCAAAGGATGTAAGTGTTGAACATGGTTGTGAAGCTTGAGATTCAGGAAACGATTTTTGCTGGGCTTTTGGCGATGTTTGAGATGAGTTCGAGTTGTTGATTAACTTTCGAATTTGGACCGCGAATTCGAATCATCTTATACACGATACTTGCCAACTCGCGATGCCTTACGGATGTCATTTCGCACGATTGCTTCCCATAGTGGGCAAGCGGAGTGGAGTTTGATGGGCTGAGAAGACCCCTGCTAGCGACTGAGAAGCGGTTCACCGTTCACCTCTTCAATCTCTCTTTCAGCTGAAGGTATCTCTGTGATGTGATTGGCGAATAATACCCATTTCCGCCCTGTTCGTTGTTAGCGCCGCCCGATTGCTTCCATTTTAGGCTTGGTGTATCGACACAGCCCTCCACTTCTAGACGCATGTCTCTGTAGCTCCCAATGACTACTTCATGCCAGGCACTCTTCAACGTGGCTTACTTCCCAGACAAACGGCTTGTTTCCATCTACAGAGGAGAGCATTGATACGGAAAATTCATTTGATAGAGATTTACCTAAACAGGTGCTGTTCTCGCGGTTGATGTCTCTAGGTCCATTCGATCGTCGGACCCGGAGGTCTCGCTGCGTTGCGTGCGCCACAAGTCACTCCAAGGTAGGTGGCCTATGCATCGCCAACAAGCTACCTGCGCAGCTTTTTTTTTCTAATCCACTGACTGCTTCCAGTGCTCCGGCTTTAGTCCTTGCACAAGATGTCAGAAACGGGGACTCGAATGCCTCTTTGCAGCGTCACCTCCTGAAGGAAAGGGTGCCGTCATCAGGCTAGAGAGGGGGAAGATCCACACGCCCAAGGACTTTCGGCCTTCGGCAGCAATGCGCCCTCAAAAGCCTATTCCAGATGTCACAACCAGTTATCTGTTCTATTTTGACATGTTTGTACGAGCAAATAGTTTCACCGGACGAGAGCCATCTTTCATTATTGACATCCAACGGTTGACAAAATCATCTGCCAATGTGGTCCCTCACGCGAGTCGCTCGCTGTTCGATGCTATGCTCGCTCTCGGCGCCATGCAAGCCCACTCTCTGGGCGCTATGGCACACAACAACAACCTAGGATTCGCCTTGCGGTCGTACCAGCAGTCTCTTTTTGAACTGCGCAGTGCCGTCTCCAACTTTTCTCCGACGCGGAGAGACTCCATAGCCTGGTCTACTTTCTTTCTTGGCTTATTCGAGGTGAGTGAGACTCGGGAATTGTCAATCTTGGTCCGGGACAGGTGCTGACCGTATCTATAGCTGCTGCAAGACGCCTCGGGACAAAAGTGGCTTCAACACATGGTCTTTGGCACGGCACAAGCACAAGCCCTTGTTGCCAGCGGTCCTGCGGCGTGTAAGTCGGGCACGATGAGGACGTTCTTCGTCCAGGCGCGCACGTTCGAAGCATGCAGGTCAATCATTTTCAATCAGCCCAGTTTCCTGGCAGATCCGGAATGGATTAGCCTGACGAACTGCCTCTCGACCAATTTGGATGAGATTCTCAAGTTAGTAGTGCTAAGTTCTAATTTGCGTGTTCGGTAAGTTTCGCCAGACTTTAGCAGGTAAGAGACTGATGCATGAATATTAAGGACGGTCGAATTCACGCGCAAGGCCTTCCCAGTTCAGGCAACGTCGGACGTCCATCTGAGCGAGGGCCTGGAGTTGGCGACTGAGGGTTTCAGCTTGCGAGAAGCACTTGATTCTTGGGAGTTTACCGCGTCGTTTCTTCCGGAATCAACAGACGAGAGGCTGCTGTCAATTGCATATCACTCAGCCACCAGCATCTATCTGTCAGGGAATTACGATTATGACCTGGCACACTGGCAGGGCCTGGGCGTTGCGGTGCCGATATTGAGTGCAAGTCGGATTGAAGAGCACTTTGACGCCATCGTCGCGACAGTCATCGAGGCTTTGAAGGGGTCTAGTCTGTCGCCGTTGCTGTTCTTGTTTCCGCTGAGGGTTGCTGGGGCACGTGCGAAGCAGCGTCAGCAGCGAGAGGCTGTCATTAAACTATTGCAAAGGATTCGACGCAACTTTATCGTGGCAGATGCGATGCTGGAAGATCTGAGAGAATTGTGGAATCGGACTATTGGCTAAATGTAGTGCCATGTATTGGGGCGACGAGGATTGGAATGTCGAATCCTAATGTATTTCCGATCAAACATCATGTTGTGTTACTTCTTACTTGCATCCCAACTGGAACGGGACTCTGCGTTTCTCAGGCTGGGAAGGGAGGACTCCCAGGATTGAAGAAAATAAGACTAGGTGACAACGGCCGATTTGAAGACAGGTTCTTCAGAGCTCTCACAGGAAATAGGAGAACCTTTGGTGGCAGAGTCTGTCACAAATATCGAGTGGTCTTTGGTATTGTGGAATGCGTACTTCCTGCACAGTAGTACACGTACACGTATGGGGTCAGGGCGATTTCTCACGTTAAGTAATGCATAATGTTTAACTCGACGTTGGTTTAATCTCTGTAGTTAGCGATTTCAGCTCAGATAAGTACAAAGAAGCATAGTACGCACGAAAACCTGACCGAAGAAATACACAAACAGGGATCAGGAGCTCTGTTCCAGTTGTAATTGGGGCTTTGTCAAGCGAGGAAGGCGAGCCTGCGTGGGCGCTGATAGGTGATTGCTACATAGAGGGATTGATGGAAGGGGAATAATATATGGATGTCGTGAGAGAGCATAATCTTTCTCATCAAGAAATTAACTTGAAATAGGAAGCAGACTATCTTATCTCTTTCCAGCTTTCGTCTTCTTTGCTTGGCTTTTTATGCATAGTTTCCTACAGCAGATTACCTTCTACTAGCACATCCCATTGACTCCAAGTCACATACAAAGGCTAGAATGGGCTGGGCTTCACATAGGAAACATTTTTTCCCACAAGTCAATTAAAGATGGCAGAAAACTTACCAGGATTATTATACTTTCCTCTTTGATAACCGCAGGTGTTTGAAGCTCGAGAGCGGTGACGATGAGCTTCTCAGACTGCCGTCCGCATCAACCGACATGTGAAGGCCGCGAAACGAGTCCGGTGGAGACCCAGCTACAGGGGGCCGTGATCCAGCGCAACAACGACCGCAATGTCGTCATCCCTCCTCTATCTTCGTGTCGGTCAAAATGCATTTCGCTCCGTCGCGGTATTCGACAGACCGCGAGTTCGCCAAAATGCATCGCCGCCCGAGAATAAGGCAGGCACATCGGAACTCCCGGCCCACGTCCACCTTCAAAAACTCCCGGCCTCGACAACCGACAATCTGCAACACAAAGTCGCGAACGGCTCCGAGTCGGAACCCACGGCTGGGTCACCACCCCACCCCCATCCCCGGTTAGCGCACGCCCCGCTGGCCACCACGGCATTTGGCCCCGGGAAAACAAAAAGGAGGGAAAGGGCGCTGGAGGAGGGGCGAAAGTACGAGGGGGGAGCTTTTCTTTCGCGACCGCACGGTGTGCCCGTACATTTCCGAGGGAAGCCGGCGGGGCAACAGTTCAGTTACCGACCTGTGGTTTCAACGTAGGTTTTGCGTGTGCTTTTTTTGGGTTCTGTCGTCTGATGGAGTGTGCAATTGGAATCTCACAGATTGCGCATCGTTTGGCTCAGTCTTCGTAAATGATTGTATACACCGTAGAGGCTCGCCGTTCGGGCTGGTGCTCTCCGACAGTCTCCGTCGCGACAGAGGTAACACCATCCATGCAAATGCCCCCCCCCCCCCCCCACCATCCCTCCTCCAGGGAACACCCGCGCCCGCGAGCCGAGGATGTTGGTGTCGTCAGTCCGGAAATCCCGCCCAGCTGTACACACGCACAGGTGTCACTGTCACATTGCAATCAATCACACTTTCAACGCCGCTTTGAACAGAATTTTGGGATCTATTTTGTGTGGGCTGCGCCGACGCCATTTGGTCGTCGCGCATGGGGGGGGGGGAATATACAACAACAACTGTGTCTTCAATCAAACAATGCCTCCTCCGATGCTCGGAGCAAGATGCCCAAAATATGCCAAAAAAAAAAAAAAAAAAAAAAAAAAGTAACGTGAAATCATCATTCTAAGCACCGGCCGTAGATGAATACATCGCCCCATATCCCTTTTCTTGGTGGGAATATTCGATTACTTAAAACTTGTTCTGGTTCGCGTTCTGCTTGAACATGGTCGCGTCGGGCTTGTACTTCTTGGACACCAGGCGCACGTCGTACTCGACATCCAAGACAGCACCGTTGGGCTCGTCCTTGACGGGGACGAAGTCGAGCAGCAGGTCGGGCTTGACGGCGCTGACGGTGTCGGTCTCGAGGTAGGGGTCGTCGCGCGGGTACAGCTGGGCCGTGACACCAATATAATCGTCGTGGGTGACCATCATGTGGATGTGGGCGGGGCGGTAGGGGTGGCGGCCCATGATCTTGAGCAGGTCGGCCGAGGGGCCGGTGGTGTCGATGGCGTACTCGGTGGGCTTGAGGCAGTAGAACCAGAAGCGGCCGTCGGCGTCGGTGCGGAACTTGCCGCGCAGGTTGTGGCGGGTCTGGTTCTCCGGGTCGAAGACGTCGTACTTGCCGTTGGTGGAGGCCTGCCACATGTCGAAGACGGCGTTGGGGATGCCCTTGCCCGTCTCGGCGTCGTAGATGCGGCCGTGGAACTTTGTGAGCTGGGCCTTGTTGTCGTTGGGCATGTTCTGCACGACGGAGGCGCCGAGGTCGCGGAAGGGGGTCTCGGGGGACCAGAAGGGGCCGAGGATGGTGGAGGAGGTGGGCTGCGCGCCGGACTCTGTGACGACGTGGTTGTTGATCTCGTCGACGAGGCTGTTGAGGAGTGATTAGACTTGATTTTTTATTTATGAAGAAGTGACGGAAAGACTTACGACTCAATACCCAGAATGTCCATGACTCTCCAGGCCTCGTTGCGGTTCTTCTTGTAGGCCTGGCCGATGGAGTTGATGTAGTTGACGCCGAGCACCCACTCGTCCTGCTTCAGCTCGACCTCCCTGCAGAAGTCGTGCATGTGCCTGATGAGGGAGGTGAGGATTTCCCTGTGGCGGGGCAGGGTCTCGGGGGCCATGAGGTCGATGACATGTTGTGTGAAGTTGGGGTCGAACTTGCTGTTGTTGTCGTTCTGGTTGCTGGTCTTGACGCCATTGGTGCCGTTGGCACCGTTGGTGTGGCCGTTGGTGTGGGCTCCGTTGACGCCGTTTGTTGCCATTGTGACGGTCGTTGTGTATGTGTATGAGAAGAGGGGGGAGAGGCTGTGAGGAGGGGGTATCAAGAATGATAGTTTTACAGATTGCTTCGCGATTACGGTAAAGGGCGAAGGACAGGTAGCACGGGGCTTAGGTTGTAGAGGATGGTGATGTCTAGGGAAGAGAGAAGGGGCACGATGGACATGACACAAAGGGGGACCCTGAAGTTAAGTATGAATCTCAGGGACGCGGGAGCAGTAGGGATGAAAGAATGGACCAGGACCCGAGGGCACGAGTCGTCGTATGATGGGCGGCAAGAGAAATCGGCAAATTGACCAAAGGCGCAATCACGATTGGGGAGGGGACCTTGGGGCTGGGCACCCATCCGTAGGGGCAGGCACGTACCAAGACCGGACCTGGGGGACCTGGGGTAAAACTTTAGCTCGTGGAATGGCTTTTCGCCTCCGCCGCCGCCTTTCTTTGCGCTCACTGTGTCTGAGAGTGAAAGAAGGACAACTTTTGGGCAAAACATATTACCGGACTGCGCTGCCGTGGAAAAGTAATGTTCCCAGCGTCGCACAGTCCAAGTGCGGGGTATACGTCAGGTACGTACCTTCAAGTGTAGATGCGGGGGGGGTGGTCCACTGTAATTCACTGGAAAGGCAGCAGATGCGCGGCGCTGAGTGGTTGGATTCCTGACTGAGTGGCCTGTGCGGCGGCGCGTGGTGCAGGTATTATATTTTGGAGATGCGCCATTGGACGCCGCCCGTGGGGAAGGGGCTGCCTCCGGGCTCGGGGGTCGGTAATGGATCACGGCTTGAGGCTGCTTGCTTGCTGTCTGCTGCTCGCGTCTTCGCGTGTTACCTCACCCAAGGACGTGGGTCTCGCTTACTCATCACCATGCCCTCACCAACGTGACCTTCAAAAAATACCCAAAAAGAGTTTCGGGACGGATTCCTGGCACTTGCACATCGGATGTTTGCATTCTTCAAGCCCCCGTCCATCGTGCCACCCGTGGATCCATGGGGAAGATTGATATCCAAAAAGTTGGGGGAGCGGAGGTGAGGGGGGGAGTTACATGCTTCCGGCAAGACCCAACGGCTTGGTGCACACCACACCACCGGTTCGACGACACGGTCGGAGGATTGGAATCGTACGTCATGTTGGTCGCGCGTTGACATCCATGGCACGAGGTGCAGCCAGCCTATTGCGCCGTGTCTATCGCATTTCGCCTTTCGTCTATTGGCTTGAGCTACCTCTCCAGTGTTGGTGATGGAAGTGTGGCTGAAGGTGGCTTGGTAGGGCAGTCACTGTCGACTTCTCATCTTCTAAGCCAGAAATTGGACTTGTCTGTCAAGCGAAGTCATATTCACAACGGTTGGCTGATGTTCATTGTATGAATTGCTATCAAATCTAACCTACCACATCTTGGTCAATACTTCACAGTCGCCGTGTTCGCCTCCGGCATCGGCTGGAACTCATTCACCCACTTGTTCCTCGGCTTGCTCAACGTACTCTTCCCGCGACGCAGGAAATTCCCATCGCCCATCTTCCCCAGCAGTCCCCCATCGTCCCTGTCCCAAACCACCTTGCCCCTCAAGATGGTATACCGCGGCCAGTTCTCGAACTTCATCCCCTCAAACGGCGAGTAATCAATGTCGTGGTGCAGCATATCGTTCTCCAGCTCGAACGCCTCCATCTTCGCCACCTCCACTCCCCCAGCCGTGGCAGCCACCTGCTCAGCCGTCGGGTACCAAATCACAAAATCCGCATCATACCCCGCCGCAATGGCCCCCTTCCTATCCCCCAACCCATAAAGCTTCGCCGGGTTCGTCGCCGTCACCTCCACAAACTTCTGCGGCGTCACCCGCCCCGCCATCACGCCCCCCTGGAACAGCACCGGCAGCCGCGTCTCCAGCCCCGGTAG